TTATAGATTTATAGAAGGTGATAAAGGGAAAAATGGTCACCATATCATTCTTTCTACATTATCAATTAATTGAAGGTAAAATATACCTTCCTTCCTTCCTTCCTTCCCTCCCTCCCTCCCTCCCTCCCTCCTTCCTTCCTTCCTTCCTTCCTATCTTTCCTTCCTTCTTCTTCCTTTGACAGAGTCTTGCTAAGTTGCTTAGATTGGCCTTGAACTCATGATCCATTCTACCTCAGCCTCCTGAGTTGTCAGGATTGTAGGTGGTGGGCACCAGTCTGCCAAACTTTATGCTCATTTTCTTAGTGTATTGTTTTTAAATTTTTAAAATATGAGTATTTTGATTTCATACAGGATAAACATTGATAAAGCTTTATACATTTTTACACATTTAGAACATTATTTGAAGTTTGTTTAAAATAGCCAATTTAAAAGAATTCTCTAGATTTTACTTTTTCCCCTGAATTTCTGTCTCCCACCTCCCTTTCCTTCTGCACATTAAAATCACCTTCTTCTTCCATTTGAAAGATTATTTGAACTTAGATTTTTAACTTTGTTGATCAATTTAGAATTCATCAAGCAGGAAGCTGCTTTCTATACAAAATTATCTGACCCAACATAACATTATCCACACTTGGCTGTGACCTGCTGACAATTTTCCTTGGGGTCAGAAGAAAAAAAACAAAGCACAACAAGAGTGTTACCATTTCAAATTCTAAGGTACATTCTAGAACTTAGTGCCACTATTTAATAGTGCTAAGAGAGCTAGGAGTACCTATAAGCTGGCTACTAAAACAAATTTGTTAGAACATACATTCATCAAATGATTCATTGTCATCTTGACACTCTTTCCTCCTGTCCACTCCAAACTGACTGACTTTGTAAATTATCATATGGCTTAAAAATATTGATAAAAAATGCTGGAAATACCGAATATTCACAATAAAAAGGATGAAGTGGAATCTTACATTACACCAGATAAAGAGTAAAATGGATCAAAGACCTAAACATAAGAGTTAATAAAGCTTTTAGCAGAAAACCTTGGGGAAAAGTTTTATGATATTGATATTTGGGTCTAATAACTTCTTGGATATGACACCAATATCCAAGGCAACAAAAGTAATAAATGAATTGGACTTCAGAAACATTAAATCCTTTTGTGCACCAAAGGACATTATTAAGAGAGTCAAAAAGAAATTCTCAGAATTAGGTAGAACATTTTCAAATTATAATATGAACAAGGGATTAATATCCATAATATATGAAGAACACCTACAACCCAATAACCAACCCAACAAGCTACCTGATCAAAAATGAGCAAATTATTTGGACATATATTTGATCACTGAAGACCTACAAATGGCTAATAAGAACATGAAAAGATATTAAATATCACTAATCATTAAAGGAACTGAAATTAACATCACACTAAGAAAGCACACCCATTAGGATGGCTATTATAAAAAATCCAAAATAACAAATTTGGTCATGGATAAATTGGAATCCTTGGGTATTATTGGCAAGATTATTAAATTGTACATATGTTGTGGAAAATGCTATGACATTCCTTAAAAAATTAAATATACATTATTGTATGATCCAGGAACTCCAGTTCTGGATGTATATTTGTTAGAATTGAAAGCAGGAACACAAAGTGATAGCTATACACCCAAAGTCACAACAACATTATTCAAAAGATGAAAGCAAACAAGTCTCCAACCATGGATAAACGGATAAATCAAATATGATATATATGTATATACTCCAAAAATTATTCAAGTTTTGAAATATGCTAAAATTAGATGAATCTTGATGACATTATGCTAAGCGAAATAAGTCACACACAAAATGACAAATGTTCTAATATTCTGTTTATATGAAAGACCTAAAAAAGTCAAATTAACAGAGATAGAATAGTAGTAACCTGAACTGGTAGAATGGCAAATTGGGAGTTACTGTTTAATAGGTACAGAGTTTCAGTTTGGGATACAGACAAAGTTCTGGAGATATTTGTACAACAATGTGAATGTGCTTAATGCCACCACTTAACTTCACATTTAAAAATGATTGAAATAGTAAATGGTAAATTTAAATAGTGAATAGTAAATTTTATGCTATAGTATATTTTACCACAACAAAAAATTAGTCTTTGCTGTGGTCTAAATGCTTGTGCCCCCACCAGCTCCTACATTGAGACCTAATCCTAAATGTGGGGGTGACTAGGTCTGAGAGTGTACTCCTTATCAGTGGGATTAGTGACCTTACAAATGAGGCCTGGGGGACCTTGTTTGCCCCTTCCATGAAGTGAGGAAGACACTGTGAGGTAGATCGAGAACCCTTGGAGTCATGGAATCTGCTGGCGTCTTGATTTTGGACTTTCCCACCTCTTGGAATGGTAAGAATAAATTTCTGTTGTTTACAAGCCACTCTGTTTAGTGTGTTTTGTTGTAGGAGTCCGAACAGACTAAGACACACCTCAAAAACCAAAACCAAAAACCAAAGCAAAAAAACCCCAAATCTAAAAGCCCACTGAGACCATTAATTATTTACAGGAAGGCATTAAACTATTTTGTCGTAAACCATTATCCCCAACATTCGGATCGAATTTTCTTGGCTGTCTGATTTACAATGTTAGATTTACATTTATCTGTAAGGATTTTGACCAAGAGCCTTGCACAATGAAAATAATGACAACTATTATTTATTGCATTTCTATTTGGTGCCAAGATTTTATATGATGATCTCAATGAATCAGCTTACAATTCCATGAAAGAGATTTTTATTATCCCTGAGCATACTTAGGGCTTAGGGGTTTAGTAACTTGTCTGTCATTGAGTAACCACACCATTCTTTTCTCTTGAATCATTTTGCTGATCTTAGAATGACAATGGGTAAGAGACATAGAGTCAGGGTAGAAGGGCAAGGGATGTGGAAACAGAGATTGATGTGAATTATGTGTGTGTGAAAATAATTTCATTATTTAAAAAATAAATTTAACTGAGCCTTGTCTTGATCCACCATTATTTTTCATAAGTAACTGTAGGGGACAAACAGGAGCTGCTATTGTTGGGTCCTGCTGCAGTCAGCCTTAGGAGACAATTGTGTAAAGGTGGGGTGGGAATGCTGACTCACATCTGCAACACTGATTAGTAGACAGGCAGATGCTGACTGTCTGTGATAAGAGAATAGTAAGCAACCTGAGTTTTGAGTACAAAAAAATGGTAAAATTGCTGGGTGTGGTGGCTCACACCTATAATCCCATCATTGGAGAGGCAGAGGCAGGAGTATTGCCTTGAGTTCAAGGCCAGCCTGGGCTATATAGTAAGTTAAAGGGCAATTTGAACTATATATCAAGGTTGTTTTAAAAGATGGAGAGAATTATAAAAACATAGCAAGGCTCTGAAGCTTTCTTAGCCCACCAGGCCCTTGGGAGAATGAATAATTATGCGTTTCTCTGGGTCCCTAGGATAGTGGTCCAGTGTATTGATTTGAAATGCATGGCCTGAGCTCCAGAAGACTGTTGTCCCCCACGTTCCTTTTCCTGAATTGATGGTGCATCCCTGAGATAGCATGAGGGGTTGGAGCGAGTACACTGCACTTCATCTGCCCAGACTCAGCCATACCTGCTTTCTCCAAACAGCAATCCAGGCTGAGCCATGGGATATCTAAGGAGTTGCCCTGTCTCCCAATTTCTAGTGGTTTCCCCTCTGTTGAGGTCCAAAGACTTTGTTCATTGTGCTGATTGGGTAGTTTACTGTTGGGTAGTTTCTGGCATCTCAATGGCGCACCCTGCTGGAAAAATTCTGAGCCAGATATGCCACTTTGGGTACAAAGTTGGAGTGCACATTGATATGAATCTGAGGGCTGAGGTGTAGTTCTCCTAGACAGATTGGTCTGTCCTCACCATTACAGGTGCAAAGCACTCTGATAAATCACTAAACTGACCCCTATAGGGTCTGATCAAATCTCAGCTCTTTACTTGTTTGACATTTGCAGTTCATAAGGGTGGAAGAAATTCTCAACAACTACTTCTACCTCTTCCTTGATCCAAAGGCTCTTTGTCAAAAACTCTTTCATTAGTGGATTGCTTAAGTGCAGAATTCAGTATTTATGTGCATGTAAAAAAATCCTAATTCTTTGTGCTTCATCTAGTGCTTGCGGGGCAGGGGAGAGGACTTCTCTTGAGCTCTCTGGGCAATTATTTTAGGTCACTGTCTCCATATGATACTTAATATACATGTATTAAACTGCATCCTATATCCAGTAATGTTTTTGTTTGCTGTTTAAAAACTTGAAAGTTATTTTAAAAATTTTCCTTCTGAAATTATTTGACTATGAATAATTTATTTACTGAAATACTTCAGTGATCACATGCATTCTTGAGAGTTTCTCCAAAATAAGAAAAACTAACAACTTTTATTTATAAATGCATGAAATGTTTAATAATTAATGAAGTTGACATGTATTATTGACATTTAAATAAACATTTATTAATTTTGATTTTGAATTTCCCCTTTTGTATTTCAAACCCTTCCTTCCTTCTTTAAGTTCTAAGCTCTTTCCAAAAATTCTCAGACCTTAAATATTATGCCATCTAATAGATACAATTGTATGGGCAATTTTAAAGTTTCTTAGGTGGGTAAGTATTAAGGCTAGATATCAAATTAGACCATATGAAATTGCCGGGGGGAGGTTGGGCTGTTTTGTTGCATAAAATAAAGGCAATTTCACAAGATTTAACCTAATACTTTTTGGTTACAAATACAGACACTTTTTTCCTTGGACACATAGAGTTAAATTGGAGAGCTAAGGTTATTAAGAGTGCTGCGCATATGGTAGGTGTTCACTGAGTTATTTGCTAAATGAACGTATGCACATATTAATGAACAACCAAACCCAACAACTATGTAAATAAGAACTAAATTGCATGGTACAGCCTTGTGGTAATAGAACTGGCAGAATATATTAATCACACAAAGCAGTTTGGCAATAACTTTAAAGCCTTTTAAAACAACATTTTGTTTTTAATTTAATTTTGTTTTATTAGCAAGGGATTTGCATTGCCTATGGGAAAAAGCAGTGCTGGCATATTTAGCTGCTGACTCTTTATTAAGGAATAAAGAATGGAAACATTACATGGATGGGTGGGGGGAATTGTAGACCTAAGAGAGAAGAGACTTCAGAGGTCGGTAGCATTTTTATGAAGCATGTTGCATTGTACTTGGCAGAGAGGACTATCTCCAGGGGCAGGATCTTAAATTTGAAAGTCCTGGCAGTTTTTTGTTCCATATGAGTCCAGGGTAGCCAACAGCTCTGTTTTATTAGGAGCAGGGAAAGGGACTGGTAATCCTAGAGAAAACAAAAAGATGATCAAATCTTAATTATTAATAGGACTTGGATTTGGGTCCACCCACCCATCCATGATTATATCCTTATTCTGTTGCACCAAGACGTGCCATACTTTCTAGGTTCTGGGACCAGAATAGCCAGAGGAGCTATTTTTTTTTTTTTTTTTGTGTGTGTGTGTGTGTGTGTGTGAAAGGAAAGTTAATGTATTGAGTGTTGGAATAGCAGAGAGCAAGGTTTTCAGGAAGCGGAAGCGTAACCAGAGAACTGATTCCTGGAGAAATTGGAGACGTTTTCATCAGAGATGCTATTTGGCCTCAGTTCAGGACAGAGGTTTTCTACCCTGGTTGTAGATTAGAATATCTGGTGGATTAAAAAGAAAGAAAGAAAGAAAGAAAATAAAACACAAAACAAAAACAAACCATGCCAGAAGCAGGACCCGCCAGAAAAGTTCTGGTTTAATTGTCTTGTGATGGGTATCTGTTTTGTTTTGTGATACCTTTTTATCTTTTTAAGAAGCTAACCAGGTAAATAATAATGAGTGTCAGTTTGAGAACCATTAGTCTAAAACAAGTAGAAACATAAGCAAAGGAAGGGGAGCGAGATTGGGTTAATCAAGAGAGGAGAAAGCTGGAATCATCCCAGGCTAAGTAAATGGTATGGAAAAACAAAGATGATGTGTTAGGGATTTCAACTTCATTAGAAGGGTAGGTCCGGTTTGAGTGGGAGCTAGAACTGAACATTCTTCAGCAAAATGAACGTCTGGAAGGGCCAGGGATTTAGCTCAGTGGTTATGCTGCCTGCCTTGCAAGCACAAGGACCCGAGTTTGATCCCCAATACCAAAAACAAAACAAAACAAAAAAAACCTCCTATAGAAAGTTAATCTTACCAGCTAATTTGTTTTTTCAGCACTAGTAAAGCTAAAAATGCAAAATGAAAATGTACCAAAGACCATTTACAGATGATTGTAAAACATGCAAAACAGTATAAAATACTTTTATTGGTACACATATTTAGTACAAGAACATATATGGACTGGAAGGATATACATCATAATTTGAAATGAAAATGATTTTAATGAAAATGATTTCATCTAAATAGCAAGAGAGAAGAAAGACAATAGGAAATGATTGGGGGGTGGTATCAATTACTGAACTGACTTTTTCTTTAAAAATATTTCTGTAGTATACATGCTATATCTATGCTATGAGTATATAAATATGCACACATATATATGCACACAATATAAAAATACATATATGAAGTATATATGAAATAAATGTATTTAGCTTTTGTTAATTCTAGATGGTATGTGGATATTTGTTAAATGTCTTTAAACTTATATACATATTGTTTATTTTTAAAAATTTACTTAATAATTATAATTTATTGTGTTTATAGTTATTTAAAATATATAGAGAGATGTTAAAAATAACACATAAAGACTGATTTGTCCCTATTCACCATTCCCTTTTTATTGTTTATATGGGTAATATAGAAGTTTAGTAATAAATTAAGTGCTAATTTTCAACTAAATAACCCCAAATTGAATATTTTTTCCAGAATGCTAGGATTGCAGGTATGTGGCACTATGCCTGGAGGTGGATGTACTTTTTTTTAGTTTATGAAAATATGAAACAAAATTTATAATAAAATAATAAGAGAATATAATAATACACTGTGTATTACTATCTTTAAAGTAGTTACTCAGAAACAAAAAGAGTCTCTCTTACAAAGAAGAAACAAACAGATAATGGCACAAAACTTTCTTCTCAGTGAAGTAGGAGAAAGTAGCACAAGTGAAATTAGCATATATATTAAAATATTTTTGATACAGCAGAATAGGTAATTTAGGGAATTATTTGAACTTTTCCCCACTTCCTATTTATCTATCTTTTATTTTTCTATTTATTCATAAATATATATTTAATTTTCTCATATAAGAGGAACCATGCGATATTTAACCTTTTGCATCTGACTTATTTCACAAAGTGAATATTTTTGTCTTCAATAACATTAAAATATAGCATTCTTACCTTAATTAGGGTATTTTCTTCTTACTGATTTCACAGGCCATTCCTTCAAATTGGAATGCGCAGGAACACAGGCACTGCCCATCTAGCAGAACCACAGTGCCTCCATTCTGGCAGGGGTGGCATTTTTCTACACTGAATTCATTGACATAGTCTTCAATGGCTCTTTCCAAATTTTGTTTCTTAAGGTGTGAATCTTTCATTTTCACAGGAACCAGATTATATATAGGAGCCAACTGCAGGAAAGCAAAACATTCCGATTTTTTATTCTGCTGATGAGCTTGTAAAATATTCTTTACTCAATCAATTATTCACTTTTAATTAAACAGAGATTTATGAATATTTATTATTTCGAGATATAATGGTAGCTTTTAAGACCATACTAGTGATCAAAACTAGTCATGTGTGCTACCATGGAAGTCACATTATGGAGGTCAGAAGATTGACTCAAAACATAAATCTACAGATAAATTTAAAATGGAAATTGTGATAGGTGCTATAAAGGACAGGAATATGTACCTTATAATGAACTAGCAAGGGACGTTAACTTTTGACTGGAGAATATATTGATATATCAACACCTGAATTGTTTTTGCTGTCTTCTTCTCTCATCCCCTCTTTCAGAAGGTAAGCATTTGCTTGTTTTCTCTTGCCTCACAATAGTTTGTGTCCAAGGAAAAATCCAGAATGCCTCTGAGGCAAGTTCTTTCTGACTTTTTTCTCTAAAAGCCTGAACTCATTCAGAATTTTTTGCTGAGGGAAGGACCATGAGAAGAATACTACTGAGGAGAAAGACTCCTGGAGACTAAGAAGGGGAGGGAGGTCCATAGATATAATAGACCTCTAGCAGCTATTTTAAGAGGTAACGGGATCATTATATGAAGGAACCAGGATCCCATTTGCCTGATTCCCAAGCACAAGCCTGGTGCAGAGGGTTGGGAATCTTTTGCCTTCAAGGGAATATGTAAGCTTGAACAATGAGGTCATCAAAGTGACCACAATATCCCCATCTCCTCAACAGATGTATCAGAGTTGTATGCCAATTTAAGTAACAGATTTTTATACTAATTTTCTGAACCCCATACAACAAATGAAAGAAGGATGGATTTTTTTCAGCAGCATAGAGAGTAAGGATCAGTAGGGATCTCAAAGTCAAATTTACTTAAGACTTAAAGAAAATTAAGTAAAATGACTTACCTTGTACACTCAAGTTCTTGCAGTTTGACATATAGTTGCTACAGTGGAATCAGGGAAGCCTGGAAAGACTCTCCTGGGAAAATGACTATTGAGCTGAGATTTGAAGGCATCAAGGCAGAGACAATAATATAGTGCATGACTTAAGATGTTTTTAGATGAAAGAGGTATAGGAAAATACTGGTCAAAGTAATGTGAGTCTCCAAAGAACAAAGGAGAGACTATTTAGGAAGTAATATTTCAGGAGCTAATGAATGGCTATAAGTAAGAATATTCCATACTTAGTGAAAAATATCAAGATAACACATGAATGAAAACAAAGGTTAAATTTTTCACATCTAGTTATATCAAAATTGCTAAAGCGCAAAGATAATGGAGAAAATCTTAAAAACAGATTAGTAAAATCTCCTATAATTTTGAAATATACTGACATTTTTACTTTAATAGAAGCAATAAAACTACAGAAAGAATCAAATGGAAATTCAAGATACAAAAAGCATGGTACCTTTGAGGAGTGGTTCATCATTAGACAACAAGGCTAAAGGAAGAGTCAATAAGGTTGATAAAAGGTGGGTAGGAATTATGCAAACTGAAACACAGGGAACAAAAAAAAAATCAACAAACCCAGAATTAGAACATCTAAGAGCTGTCAGGCAATATTAAAGAGTCTATTATTGGAATCCCAGAGAAAAAGAAAAGAGGAGTGAATGGGAGGAGAAAAAGGGGGGGGGAGGGAGAGGGAGATATATATATATATATATATATAGAGAGAGAGAGAGAGAGAGAGAGAGAGAGAGTGAGGAGAGAATATAATGTGGCAGAAGAAATAGCTAAAGATATAGTGGCCAAGAATCTTTCAAAAGTAATTAAATATATCCAAGTATAGATTCCAGAAGTTCAGTGAACTTCCAGTAGAATAACAATAACAATAATAATAATAATAATAATATGATAATGATGATACACATTCATACACATCACATTCAAACTGCTGAAAACTGAAGATTAAGAAGAAATCTTAAAGGCTACATCCTATCATTATGTTATCATGAAAGGAAATGCTATGTGCAAAAAGATAAGCCTTACAAAATACTACTCATTAATAAACTACAAGTCAGAAAACAATAAAGCACTGTCTTTAAAGTACTAAAAGATGACCAAAAAAATAGAGACAGAGACTGAGAGAGAGAGAGAGAGAGAGAAAAGTAAAAGATGGAATGCTTTCCTTCTAAAAATGAGAATGTAACAAAATGTCTGCTCTTACCACTCCTATTTAACATCATAGTGGAGATCCTAGGTAATCCAGTAAGGCAAGAAAAAGGAATGAAAAACAAAGAACTAAAAAAGAAACAAATAAACCATTTCAGAAGATATGATTATCTAAGGTATGAAATTCTCATATATTTCTGGTGGAAATTCAACTATTGTAGAAGACAATTTTATTGTTTCTTACACAAACTTGTATAAATATATTTACCATATGACAAAACAATCTTCTTGCAAAGAAATGAGAAACATGTTCTTACAAAGTCCTATAGTCAAATATTTATAATGGTTTTAGTCATAAACAGCCTCCCCCCAAAAAACACACCTAGAAACAATTCAAATGTCCTTCAATAGATGACTAGGAAAAAATTTGTTTAATGTGCACCATGGAATCTACACAATGAAATATTATTTAGCATTAAAAATGGAATGAATTACTCATATTTGCAACATTGTGAATGAATCTGAAATATGTACTGCTTAGTGAAAGAAGCAAAATTCAAAACATCACACGATTACATTTATATGCCATTCATGAAAAGACAAAATTATAGGGTCAGAAAACAGGACAATGTTTTCCTAGAAGTGAGGGACAGAAAGAGAAATAGACTAACCATGGACATGAAAGAACTACTTGTATGTTAGACATATTTTATATGTTGATTTTGGGGTGGTTTGATGACTGCATGTGCTTGTTAAAACTTTAAAAATTAATTAAAAATAAAAGATTTAGTTGGGTGTGGTGGCGCACCTCTGGGAGGCTGATGCAGAAGGATTGCAAGCTTGAGCCCAGCCTGGGAAACTTAGTGACCCTCTCAAAATGAAAAAGGGTTGATGATGTAGTTCAATCCAAAAAGTCCAATCACCAATACTACTCTCTAAAAATAGATAAATGATGAATTTTACCGTATGTAAATGATATCCATTAAAAAATATCTAATTACATTAAGATAGGCCAAAACTCCAAAAACAGGACATAAAATCACATTGTACAATATTATATTCCTAACTATAATTCTGAAGAAGACCAATGACTAGGAGAATGTACACTAAGGTGTCATTAACATTTTATCTACTTTGCTTGTGATTTTGATTATATTAGGAAAAATCTGCTAGGATAGAGATTTATTCTGTTGTATTCACTGAGTTAGCTTAAGCACTACAATAGGTGCCTAGTAACTATTTACTTAAAATAAAACAAGAATGATCATCTTTTTTGTTTTTTAAAACTAAAACTTGAGGACAATGAAAGATGGAAAATAGAGAAGGAATAGTGCATCTATGGCATGTGTATATCAACAAAGAGATATTTGGTGAGGTAGGTACATATCAAGATAAAAATTAGACAGAAAACGTTACTAGAAGTACAGAGAGACACTGCAACTGATGAGGAAGAAATAATAATTCTAAATTTTTATATATTTAGTAATGAGCCTTAGAATATGTAAAGCAAGAACCAATCCAAGCATAAAGAGAAATAAATACACAAAAGTAAGGTAAGTTTTACAGATTTCTTAGGATTTTCTGTGTGAATATGCTCTAGGCAGAGAGATAGGTTTTCTTTTTCCTTTGTAATCCTTATGCATTTTTAGTTCTTTTTCTTGTTTTATTGAAGTGGCTAAAACTTTAAGATCAATGTTAAATGGAAATAATGAAAGTGGTTATCTTTATTTCTGATCTAAGTGAGAAAAAGTTCAATATTTTACTCCTAAGTATAATGTTGGTTGTCAGATTTCATAGGTGCTCTTTGCTTATTTGAATGCCCAATAAATTTGTGGTACCCACTAGTAATGAGAGAAATGCCAATTTAGCCTTCTAGAATGGCTTAACAAATGAATAAAAAGAGTGACAATACTAAGTGTGGATGAGGAATTAGGAGAAATTAACAAGGCTAAATAAATGAAGAGGTGTTCAACACACATGAACATAATTAAAATATTACCTTTCACCAATTTGATTTATAGATTCAGGACAATCTCAATCAAGATTTGAGTATCTTTATTATTTGTTGAAATTGCCAAAATAGAAAATTCACTAAATTACCACGACCTTCTGAAGAAGATGAAGATGAAAGGCCTTGTTGCTCTGGACCTCAAGACTTTTAAAATTATAGTACCTAAGACAGTGTGGTAATAACTGCAGAGCATCTGAAGCTAGCATTATTTACATGTGGAAATTGACATAGGACAAGGGTGATTTAGCAAAGACAGGAAAAAGGAAAATCTTTTTGATAAGTTTGCTCTAGGACAATGAAATATATATATATATATAAATTCTAAAAACAGGCTTATAACTTACAAGATATGATAAAAATATGATGAATGTCTAAGTTTTACAAAAAAAAGGCACATTGCCATTAATTCTCCTCAAAAAACTACCATTCACTTAGTTGATTGTGTTTGACACTTTCTGAAGCAGTTCTGGAAGTCTTCTTTTCTTAGTATCATTAGTTGTTCTGTCATGGCTGCCTCAATGTCCTCAATCAACTTAAAATATTTCCTTTTCATGATTATTTTGACTTTGGGGAAGAGCTAGAAGTCACACAGTGCCAGTTCTAGTGATTCAGATGGAAGAGATCACACCATTATGTTTCTATGAACCTGCCTCATTTCCACTGAATGATAGTCAGCCTTGGCATTCACTATATTTTTTATACTCATAAAGATTCTCAGGAAAGAGGACTTCCAGAACTGCTTCAGAAAGTGGCAAGAACCATCGGATAAATGTCTTCAAAGTAAAGAAGAGAACTTTGAAGGAGGTTAAGCTATTGTGTCTTTTACTGTAAGAATATTTTACTATATTGAATTTACTGTACTAATTTTTTAAATTTAAAAATTCATTGCATATTTTTATCACACCTTGTAAACCATAGACAAACCAAGCAGCCAACTAACAAAGCAAATAGCCAAACAAACTCTAGGTTGATTATAAATCTAAAAGTTAAAATAGTATATTAGAACTTCAGAAGACAATATATAGATATAGCAGAGCATCTTCAAAACCTTGATCTAGAGAGAGACTAAATAGGATGTAAAAATACCAACTGAAATGAATCAAAAGACCCAGTTAACTACCGTGAAATAAAAAATCATGAACACGATAAACAATGATAAATGCACTAGATAAGAACATATCATCACTTTGGCGGAAGTCTTGCCAAGAAAAACATAATCACATCTACTTTAAATCTAAATTGAGGAACACTTGACACAATAACTGACCAGTCCTCATCAAAATTGTCAAATCTATAAAAGGCAAGGAAAGTGTGAGGAGCTATGACAGATTGGAGGAGACTATGGAGACATAACAACTAACTCCAGTGTGAGTCCCTGGATTGGATTTGGTGTGGAAAAAAGATTAAGGGGGAAGTTAGTGAAATTTGAGTCATCTATTGTTTAGCTAACTAAATTATCTGATTTTGATAACTTTACTGTGGTTATGCAATTAACATTAGAGACTGTTGGGCAAAAGGTTTATATGAATTCTCTGCACTAGTTTTGAAATATTACACTCTATACTATCTGTGCAACTTTATTGTTAAGTCTAAAATTATTTCAAAAAAAGATAAAAAGAACATCTGTTACAAAAAGAAATGCCATTAAATGACTGAAAAGCTACAAGTGAGAAAAGGTATTTACAGCGCTTTTCAGTTGGAATAGGCTAATATCCACAACATATCCAGAACTTCTAAAACATCAAAACAACTGTCTACTAGGGTAGTCTTTCATGAATCAGTATACACGATTCAGATTTCAACTGTAATATTTATTTGGAAGAAAAAAACCTCTTACCATCATTGCCATATTGGCTCCAAAAACACAAGCATGTGGTAGAGTTATTTTGATTTTTTGAGAAAAGAAATTATCTTGTTTTACCCTTCAAAGTAAATTCAAGGCCAGATGATCTGATACAGAAATAGAGGGTCATGGAGGAAACACAATTTGGATAAACATATAAACAGTGTTCAAAGAGATAAAGATGAAGGACATACAATGGAAATAGTTTCAGAAAGCCTCAAACCCTAGAGTAAGAAATCGCACAAACAGACAAAAGAGAATTAAAATGTACTTCTTGAAGTTTTTCTTCAAATCAACATCTTTTTTTCTGATGAACTTTGACCTTTTACTAAAAAAATGTTCTAATTTTCTTCCTTTACCAACTAATTCTCTTTTTACCATTTGTAGGTATATTTTCAGTAGATATAATCTATCATAAAATGTGTTAAAATACAAATAAATTTACAACATATCTCAATAGTATGTACATTTAGATCTCTTTTAGGCATCCAAATATTAAACTATATATTCCAAATGTAGTTTTTGATAAAATGAATGTTATTTTTCTCTCTGTACTAGAGAGTTCAAAATGATTTGCACTATGTCATTATAACTTTTAACAACCATCACAGAAGATTTATGCTACAGGCCCATAAAATACTGATGCTTTTTAAGATCTGATGCACATTTACTAAGAATTACTAAATATGGCAAAAATGATAGGGTAATTAATTCATTATTTATTACCTCATGGTACTCTAGAAAGGGCTAATGTAGCTTATTGTATTCACAGAAGAGGAGTTTAGTGAAATGCAAAGAAGAACTGAGAACAGAAAAGGAGAGATGGAGGTAAAAGCAACACATATGAACAAAATTCATACCAGAAAAAACTATCCATTTGCACCAGATGGGTTGAAAATTTGGCTATATTTTCTAGCCCATTGAGACAAACTGAATTTAATGATCCCAGGCATATAAGAAAAACTACCTGATTTCCAAGAGACACAAAATGAGATTAAAAAGTAGCATTTCTGTGAGTTCTTAATAAGGGAGACAATATATTATGTAATATATTTATAAAATAGTGCAGTGTTTATATAATTTTGTTTCTTACAAGGCTAAAACAAAACCTTACAGGAGGCCATACAGCATATCATAGCTGTACTGATCTTGCCATTGTTCCAGAGGAAATCATAAACATTCTATCTTCCAGGCAATCTGTAATGAAGGTAGTTTCTCTCACCTGACATTTTCTTAACTAATTCGTAGCAGTTGCTTAAAGACAAAAATTAAAGTTTGACTATTCTATTGAGATAAAATGCAAAACATTTGTGTTAATGTGCAGACAAACTGGCAATAGGGTTAATATAATTTTGCAAAAGTTGAAGATTGTGACAAAAATAAGTACAGAAAAAAATGAGCCAGTCTATGTCCTCTGCACAGAAAGAGGTCAAGAAAAAAATTCTTGGACTGGACGAGGACACAGGGAAATTGAAAGAGCACTGTCGCAATTACAGAAGCTATCTACCTACTGACCTCTCTATTCCTTCCTCTTTCTCTTCCTTTTCTTCTTCCTCTTCTTCAATCATCATCAAGTATTTTACTTAGAAAAATCTTATATTTAGTCTCTTATTTAGAATGAATTTCCTAGTCTTTCCTCCAAGATAAACTTAGCAAGATAGACACTCAGATCACTGATTTAATTTGAGAAAGGATTAAATATAAAGCAGTTAAATGTCTAGAGAGGATAGATGAGATTCTATCAACTTTTTAAATAATTAAATATGAAGGACTCTCCTTGATTTAAATATCAAGACCATTCTTAGTGTTTGAAAATTTCATGTGTAGACAATAGAATGCTTCAACTCACCCAAAAATGAATTAGTGATTATAGATTGTGTAATTATCTGCTAGAAATGGTACCCAGGTGACTAACGAAAAACCACTTTTATTGGCGTTAAATAAGCAAAATGAATTAGGGTCTATTTCAAGGTTGAACTAAACTATACCTCATGTATCTCCAGGGATTTAAAGGCCACACAAAGTCAATATAAACCACCATCATTTACTGTTTTCTGAAACTTCTTTACAAGAAGATTCATTTAAAAAGTGACCTATGAATCACTAACTAAAGCCACCATTTTCTTAGACCATTCATATGGCAAATCCAGGCTTCCAATTTATAAAGAAAAAAACATATACAGACAGTTTATAATGAATGCCTACTCAACTCATCTAAGAATTTGAGGAACAAACACTTGGCCGAGCACATGGAATAAACTATATTCTGTGTTTGGCTTGGCAGGACTGTGCCGATTGAGTTGACAGAACTCTTTGAATCTTTAAAAATCAGCTGTGGAACATGGTGGAGTGTTGTGATCTCAGAGAGCAATTTTGGATCCATGCATATAAGAACAGTTGAACTTTCTTTGTAGAGATGAGACATTAAGCCACTGTAAAGGTCTGAATGGATGTAAATATTCACCTGGGCCACCTGTGTCTATCTTTACTTAAAATCTTCCAGCACAGATTTATTTTACTTAGCTCAAGATAATGAATTTAAATGAAATTTAAACTTACTAAAATAATAAAGGTTTCTCCTGATTGTATTTTCATATATAAACATGCTAATTTGGCCAGACTTTCTTTTCTCTCTCTTTGTCCTATTTTGGGAGAAATATTATTTGAAGATTTATAGATACATTTGCACATTTGTGACATTTGTATAACCTAATGGGAGAATTAATTACAATTTTGCAATTTCTTACTTCTTTCTTCACATAAATGAGCTATTTTGGGTAGCTTTACTCACACTTTTTTCATTGAATCTTTTTCATTACATTGCTTTAAAGACAATAAAATTGATTGAGAAAATAAAATTTCCCACTAACTAGTGCCAACATTTCTGTAACTCAAATTAATCAAACTGAAGTGGTAAGCAAAGATAGACTTGACCAGAACAAAGGATATTGTGAAACATAATGGCTAAGTTGAAAGCTATAAAATGAACTAGAAAACCTACTCCTAATAATATCAGGAGCCAAAGAAGGAAAGCATTCACCCTTTTTATTTAGTTTGGAGAGAAAGGGATGAGCCTAAACAACGTTTACATCTTTACAATTATAACACATTTTCCCCCTTAGGAATAAGCACAGGCTTGTGAATTCCCAAAGGTTTTCTTTTCTTTCTTTTTTGGTAGCAGGGATGGAACTTGGGTCCTTGCGCTTGCACAGCTGTTGGTGAAACCACCGAGCTAAATCCCTGGCCCTCCCAAAAGTTTTCTAATTTGAGGACTATTACAATCAAGATAGGAAACGGAAAGAATTCTCTGATCCTGAGGACTGTTCACTCTTGTTCTCATTTTCCTGAAGACTTTATGAACATTCCTCTCATAGAGACTTAATAAAGAAGAGCAGACATGATCAAGGTATGGAAATATGGCAGTGAAATATCCATTTATTTGTACAATTAATAATGTTAATAATTATAAAAATGATTTTAAAGACTTACTAAATAAGATTCTCCTGTGTTGAAAGTGGTAGTGTGATGCCAAGGCAAGAAGCAATCAAGGACAGACAGGGAAACTGACAATTCTTGGGAACCTATTTTGTTCCAGTCTGTGCTCTAGCACGCGAGCAATCATCTCAGAAAAAAAAAATGTCTAGAGAATTTAATGTTGTAGAAGTTAAAAACATTGCACATTTAGTGAAGGACAGAGGCAGGAACCCAGCTGAGTCTGTTTGACAGCACACCATGCCTTTCTTCTCTCCCATGTGGCATTCTGGGATAAGATGGGAGTGTATCTAAATATTTACTTCTCTTTCAGAGCAGTCAACTGTTCATACGAAATGACATGACCTTCTATTTAAAAATGAACATTACTTACTTTCTGGCTAATGAGCACTGGAGCTTGATTTAAGGAAGAGGCCCAATTCACAAAGTCAGTCATATCAATTGTCTTGGGACCTTTGAGAAGCTTTTCCTTCAGTTGCAAGGCATACAGATGGGTTCCTCCTTTTATGAGTGAAATAACATCATCAATGAGTTGATCTCGGCTGATGTTTACTGGGAAGAAGAGATAAAGAGAAGCTCTTGTAGTTCTGTGTTCAGTCATCAAGATAATATTTGATAAGTCTTTCATATGTATGTCTTTCGGTATAGTCTGGCATATTTTTTGAATTATAATTGTAAAATTACTTATAAAATCCCCACCAGATGTATAAGGGAAATTTTTATTAATACTCAGTTGCAAACTTCAATTACCTTTCTTTTGTTAAATGAAAAGGGTACATTGATAATTCATAGCTAATCATATAAACACATGTACATGCGGAAAATTAACATGGCTTTGGATATACTACATATTTTTTTGTTGAAAACTTACCTTCATAATTGCATTTTGTATAGATTTGCTATAAACTATTGCAATACTACACAAAAATTAAAGTGTCCAAAACAATAACATGAAAAGTAAAATTTTTTTCCATCCCAAATTTCTACCCATCTTCCCTCAGTCTCTCTCCAGATTGAACCACTTTTACAAAGCTTTATGACTCATTCAGATGCGGAATTTTAGGACTGAAGACAAATTCCAAGATGTTTTTGTGTATCACTCCTCATTGTTCTGGATGAGAAATCAATCTGAAATCTTAGAGAAATGTAGTTACTACCAAAGATTACACAATTAAGGGGCAAATACAGAAATTATGACATATTCTGACAAGTTCAGGTTTTTGTCACTTCACCAGTGGCTTCTAGTCATGACCAGAAGTCAGAAGTTGACGTGGTTTTAAAAATGTCAGGATTTCCTTTCTTTAGATTCTTCACTCTCAGTTGGTTTTTAAGAGGAGTTTCAAGGATGTATATTTTTAAAATGCCCTCAGCTATTTCAGATTAGAGTAAGAACTGAGAACTCCAGGTCTTCCTCATGCTTGAAAATCTGCTGAAGATTGATAACAGAAGGTAATATTTATACCAAAGATACTTGCAATTTTACAAAGCTTATGCACACTGACTTGAGATGAAGGAAGGATTAGGAATTGCCAATCCAGTGGAAATTTGAAATTGGGAAGATGATGTTGGCCTTCTCCTTTGTTAATGGACACACGTAACACTATTACAGGCCCATTTGAGACCTTTATTAAAATCAAGATATATTTCTATCACTGGCCTTCCACCAATACCATAATAAATACACAAATCTACAATGAGAAGAGTGTGAGTGACATCTCCTAAAGATGTGTACTGCACAACTTGCTCAGTAGAGACACTGACAAGTACATATCCATGGGTCATTTGTGTCTGTCACAGTTCAGAGACCACTGCAAAGATAAAATAGTTCTTGAGGACTTAAAGTGTTTCTAAATAAAGAAGGTAGACAATGAAGAGGGAATATTGTGAGAGGGGAGCGCTCTTTGGCATCTGTCCCCCACATTTTTAATCTCGTTTAAGTTAGGGGTCATACTTACCCGCTTTACCTTCACCCCTCTTCACACAGTTACTATAATCCAATTGTGCTGTGAGGTCAGGTTCAGCGGTGTTTCCAGTGATACTTAGAGATAAGTCCAGATTATACCCGAGGCATCTCTTTATATCATTTAATTCAAAACCTGTTTTACATATTTATTTAAAAATTATTAGATAATATCTGTCAAGAACACAAATAAATTCCAATTTTACTATTTTGTAAAAAATATATTTACATTCATAGACATCATTACAGAACTCAAATGCAAGGTTCTGTGTGCCCTGTTTTGTCTTTGCATTGGAACATAGTAGCCTCCTGTATAGATTAAATTTACTACTTGCTTTAAAAGGATGTGGGTTGGCTTAAAGTGATCATAGTAAAGTCTTAATATCATAGAAGTAGACCAACAATGTCTAGTATGTATTGAATGCTTATTACACAGCTGACATCTTTCTATACATTTTACATGCATTAACTAAGTTAATGCTCGTATGAACCTTATGAGGTAAATATTAGATATAGAATCAGAGTAGTTAAGTAACCTGCTGATAGCCAATTACCCATCTAGTAATGAGGCAAGTTGAATTTGAACTCAGAAATGTCTGGCTATTAAGAATTTTCCTGCCAGGGATTTGGCTCAGTGGTTCTGCTGCCTGGCTCACAAGTGCAAGGTCCAGAGTACGATCCCTGGTACCCCCCCCCCAAAATTTTCCTTATATCAACTTCATGATTTGGTCATGGAATGCATCAACATCTCTTTGTATTTGGAAAACTTGGTTCATCATTAAGATGAGTGATTCATTGTTTTGAGCAGATGACTTTTATAGATGAAAATTTTATTGTGGTCCTATGAGTCATTTAGTGGATACCAGTCTTGGAAACTAAATCATTAGGATGTATGGATACCCAAACAGATATTAGGAAGAAAAAGGCTTTTCCTTAAAGCCAATAATTTATAATCTATTTTCCTGATTTATAAAAAGTAAATACTCCTTTATTTTAAGGCTATTTAACTCAGACCAGCTCAATGACCATCTCAGTTTTTGCTCTTACTAGCTTTTCTGATCTCTCTGCCCCCCCCCCCACTGAAAAATGTGGGATCATTTGTTCTGGATGCCAAATTTCTTTATGAAAAAGGAAAGAAAAAGATCACAGGTTTCCACAGTAAGTTTTAGAAGGAGATATTTGGGAGACTTTAGATATTCATTCATGTGGCAAATATTTCTTGTGCACTCACAAATTTTTTTGTTTGTTTTTTTGAGACAGGGTCTCTATGTAGTTCAGGCTGCCTTTGAATTTACTATATAGCCCAGGCTGCTCTCAAACTCACAACGACCTTCCTACCTCAGCTTCCCAAGTGCGGGATTACTGGCATGTACCACCATACCTGGGTGTATTGTTTCATGTGTTTTGTCAATATCCAGTTTGTGTTTGAATCTATTATTGTTGCTGATTTCTTTGCTGTTGCCCGTGGTGGCATAGTTCTTGCTAATAATTGGTTTTAACTGTATGCCAATATCTGGTTTGTCTTTGTGTCATCAATATAACTGTAGTTTGTTTCCAGAGAACTGGGTGCTGGACCAGTTACTGAATCCTCACCTCCCCAAATTAAGGGAGGAGGTTGGATCTTGAGACAGAGGCAAGGCCTGTAGTCATTACACCCAGAGTGTATTACTGAAAACAGACACTAATTAAAGAGATTGCCATACTAACAACAAAGTATTCCCACTTTTATTGACCCTCCACCTTCAGTTCATGCACATGTGCACATGTGCGTGAGCATGCATGCACACACACATACACGAGAAATATGAGAAAATAAGGCAACAAAATGCCTCCAGAAAATCCTGACTCACCCAAAGCTGATTCATGGGGCATCAATGGGAAGGAAATCAAAAGCCAAAGAGCTGAATTATATGAATTGATAAAAGAGAAAAAAAAAAAGGTAAAAAAAGGTGCTCAGTGAACTCAAAGGTGATATAATTAATAGACAATGGACATAATAAACAAAATGATCAGTGAGCTTACAGAAGACACTAGTAAAAACCAGATGACCTTAACACAATAATAAAAAACAGGAATGACTAGGTTACCAAAGTATTAAAGTCCATGAAAAGGTAGCAAACAGAATTGCAGGAGATAAAAATTCTACTGAAAGTATGGACAGCAATTAGAATGAATAATCAAAAATGTAAAATAGGAAGAAAAGGTCCAAGGGGGTAGGGGTAGTGGGAGGGGCAGGGGAAAGGAAAGAAGGGAAAGGAAAAGTGATGAGAAATGGAAAAAATGGAAATAAAGTCTTTGCAAATAGGGAAGGGTGGAGGGCGTGAAGGGAGGGCTAGGAATGGGGAAAAAATAAGAACCAAGATACATTATGTAAAGGTACAATTCCCAATGAGAAATGTAATTGTGTTGTATACCTACAATGTACCAATAAAAGAATTTAATAAAAAAAAGTGACAAATGTGAGGAGAGAGTGTCAGATCTAGAAGGTTGGGCCAATGCAGATGACCATACACTCAGGAATACCTTAAACACAACAAGAGATCATGGAATATGTATTCATAAGCTACTACATGATGCAAAGAGGACTAGCCTAAGCTTAAATGAAATCAGTGAAAAATCAAAAGAAGAACTAAGAGCATAAAAAATCTGTTTACAGAAAATTTTCAGCACAGCCACCTGCAAGGCTGAGGAAGAGCCTTCTGGGCCACAGTACTACTGCCCCCAGTGTGGAGGAGCACAGCCACCTGCAGTCCTGAGGAGGAAACTTCTGTACCACTGCCCCCAGGGCCAAGGACCAGAGCTGCACCCAGCACCAAGGATGTGAGCTGCACAGGCGCCAGCAGCACACATACAGCCCCCCTGCCCATTAAAATGAGAAGACACATAAACAAGTCTCAAAAACAGACTCCTAGATCACCTAAAGCAACACAAAAGGGAAATGAGTTGGAACAATCTGACACTCAACTACCTGGACTCCCTAAACTGGCAACAAAAGAGGATCTCGAAAGAATGAAATCAGAAAAATTTCTCAGATAACAGGAGAGATTGTCCCCATAGTGCAAGATATGAATACAAAATCTAGAGAAGACACAGATAAAAAAAAATAGAGGCACTGAGGAACATGATGGAATCCCAACATAGGAAACAAATGGAATACATAAAACAGATGCAAACAGATCTCCAGGAGATTAAAAACTCCATTGAATGTTTACATGGTGGAACAAGCCAAAGTGAGGACAGAATTTCAGATACAGAAGAAAAGATTGTAATTAGTGACCAGGAAAAGAAAAACTTCTTTACAACAGTAAGGGACCATGAGAAATTGATCTAGAAGCTGCTAGACGATGCCAAGAAGAATGAAAAAAAAAAACCTGATCAGAGTCAATAAAGAAACAGGAGAGTGTGCATATGACATAAAAAAACTGTTCACAAAAGTGATGGCAGAAAACTTCCCAAGCAGGGGAAAAGAACTTGACATACAGGTAACTGAGGCATATAGGACTCCAAATAGCCTTGTTAAAAAAAAAAAAA